ATTCAATATATCGTGTTTGATAACCATCTTTACTTTTTACATTCAAGCCTTTGGCTGTCTCACATTAATTCACCTGATATAGTTTTTCTTTTAATTTTATTAATTTTCATTCTTCTTTTAATATAGATATCACTTCCCTAGTATAGTTTCTACCCCTTACTATGTTATGGACTAGCAGGCCATGCCTTCTCGTCTTGGGAATAACTGAAAAGGTAGGCGGCTTCTCAAGTGGGAGTTTTATACAATTATATATTTTGATTAGTATTCATATTTTATTATGTAATGTCTTAAATCTCTTGTATGACAGTCTATCTATAACATAAAAATAAAAAATAAAAATAAAAATGTTTGGACTTAATTGAGAAGTCTTTTTAATAAAATGTCAGATAGTAATTCAATATTGTTATAATTTTAGTTATTTTAATAAAAATTAATTAAGTAAATTAATAGGTTTCAGTTATATTTCAGTATATAAAAGTTTTAGGAATTTCGGGTCAGTTTCGGGTTTCGAGTTTCGGGAAAAAAATACCCATCCCGAAACTAAGTTTCAGTATATACCGAAATCTAAAGGGTTTCGGGAAGTTTTGGTTTCGGGCCTCATGTTTAATCCACATGTTTTATTGTGCTATTACCATGTACTAATAATTCATTTTCATAATTTTTTTTAAGTGATCTCCAATTGAGTTATCAATTCATCTTAATAATAATACTATTTATTTATTTATTTATTTATTTTTTTTTTAAGACTTTATTATAGATGCGATCATGTCCTATTATAATCATGCTTACTTACATATATAAACTTACAAAATATAAGATAAACAAATACATATAAGAATTAAGCATTATGAAACAAGACTACTTTTCATAAAGAACAAGTTGACCTGTCACCTAAACAATCACATCATAGTTAAAAACCATAATGCGACCTCAAATTCAAAGGTGACTGTCATGATCTACCTAAAAATTTGCCCAATGACCGTCTCGATGGAATGCCAAATCATTCCATTTATTTCAATTACTTTCTAATATCTTACAGTCAACATCTTTAACACCCACTTCAGTGCGTTTACTATGTGACTTAGCTTTTTTATCTTTACCGCTAATACCGCACCGCTTTTCTTCCTTTACTACACGTTATAAATAACGTGCATGTATGATTCTTTCTTTATTAAAAAAGCTGTATGTATATACTATCAGATACAGAATGATGAAATAAACGAAAACAATTTTTCTAAATAATTCGATAAAACTACTGGGGAAGTCTATATATTTTTCTTTCAAATAAAATTTGCCATATGTAAATATAATCAAATATGGAATGATGTGAAACTAAAAATAAATTCGATAGACAAACTGTCTATATATTTTTCTTTCTAACCAAATAGCCTTATGTAAATATTATCAGATAAGGAATGATCTAAAATCCTAAAATAATTATTCATTTTTTCCCTTTTGATAATTTGTTTCTTAATAATTAGCCATCCCACAAAAGAAAATAGAAAAACAAAACAAGAATAACTAATCATATACTTATATCCCCTTAATACAACATACCTTGCTCTAATTTACGAGCTTTAATTGCATACTGATTAACCATATAGTCATGAGTAACCCCACGTCCACGCCTTCCTCTTCTAACCCTATTACAATATGTTGTTAAAAGACTTTTATCTCTAATACTATTCAAACCCTGATGAAATTCTGACCTTGTAATAGGTTCTCGTCTATTGAGTATTTCTTGCCAAGGAGCGACATTATCCTGTCCACTAATTTCCATTTCCTGAAGGTCCGTAACAATATTATCTATTGTAACACTTTGACCAGCACTACTCAACTGTTCTGCTAACTTAGCATCGTTTCATTCAAAAGAAGCGTCTTTTTTCTTTCTTAATTCAAAAAAATACTCTTCGTTAAAAGAATAATTCATAAAAATATCATCTATTAACATTTTGTATCCAACTTTACTCGTAACTTGATCTACCAGAAACTCCATTTCTTTTTCTGATATGTACTGTTTCCTAAGGATATCACCTCTACGTTTTAACTTATGTTTGGAAATAAGTACCTTTGATTCAATTCCATTATTTGTAACCTGCCATTTATTCTTATTACTCTTGAGGTTGTTTTTAAACCTCTTTTTATACTTCTCTTGTTCTTTTGGCATTTTAAATTGCTTGTTTATCCGTAAATTTGAATATGTAACTGCATATTTACGTGTTCTACCATCCATTGAAACTTTTTTTGTATAAGACACGCCTACGCGTTTACTTATTACTTGTTTAACTTTACTAAAATCCTTAAACACATTTTGCGGCGAAGGTGTAGAAGTCACGATCACCTTCGAACGACAATTTTGACAAACTTTTCTATTTCTTGACATCACGTAAGCACAGACGTTACTACAAAATGAGCATGGGATATAGAACCCCAAATACCATGTTCGTTTACCATGACTAAATTTAATATAAGTTGTAGTTTGCCTGTTCTTTTCTTGTTTCTTCAATCTATTTTCAATGACTACAAGTTTATCCAATAATAATTGACGTATTCTTAAAAAATACTTGTTTTTAGTTTCTATGTCAATAGGTAATCCACAAAATACACTTGTCAAGTATTTTGAAATCCTGTATTTAGTATTCATCATAGGCCGATCTGAATTAATTAAATAAGGCTTATCATATTTCTTTATTATATGTTTATTGTTGGTAATAATCGTCAACATATCTTTTTCTTTTTGTAAAGAATCCACATGCAAAAGAATATAGAACTTTCCTTTTCTGGTAGAATATATCGTATCAGCCCCCATGTACCGTTTCACTTTTTCTGGACGGAAAAAAGTATAGCTGATAAAAATTTCTTTATTCAGCATCATTTATCTGATTGGTGCGCCGTATTTACGCCTTCTTTTGAAAAAATTTCACAAGAAAACAAAATTTTTATGTCTTTAAAGGACTATTAAGCCCTTGTAAACTTGTTCGAACTGAAAAGAGTGATAATAAAAAGTGTGTTGTTTAAACCAAGGAACACTTTTGTCTTAATACTGAAGTGCTATTTTTCTAGTAATTTAACGAGAAAAAAGCGTAATATTTCTTGTGTGAAAAATGGATGTGAACGGTACAGGAAAGAGTTTTTATAATAATACTATTTATAATTAGAATTTTTATGAAATAAGTATAATATAAGGTAATTCAATGTTTTTTTACCTTTATTTTCTTATTTATAATATTATTTGATACTAATTTAATCAAATCTTCAAATGGTTGATAAGCATAATCATTACAAATAAAACAAAGTCCTTCTAAATCATTATGATATTTAAATTTTTTATTTTGCAAATAAGCTATAAAGGAAGTTTGTTTCATTTTATCAAGATATATAACTGAAAATTTTTTCCATAATACACTTTTTTGATCTTTAAGATAGAGAATAAGTAATTGCATTTTTTTATTAATATAATATAAACTTATATTTATGTTTACTTTATCAGCAAAAAATAATTCAAATTCTCTTTTTTTAATTTCAGTCATTTATTTACAAACAATAATAAATTTATCAAAAGCCTTACAATCTGAACTATTTTTATGATGATATTTACGAGTGACATGAACTGTTTTTAGTAAAATCTAAGTGAAATTTTATATTTAATCATATTTTTAATTTAATATGTATTATATAATTATAATTTATCATATCTGTAAATTTTTTATCAATTTTTATAAGTGAAATTCCTTACAACTATTGAAAATTTTCTATTTGAACCATTAGGATTAGTATCAAACTTTTACATAATGAATATTAAAAAACATTTGCAGTGTTTTATTTCTAATTATTAAATTTAGTATAATATTTAAAAATCCATTAGAAAATAAATTGGATATTGTTTCAATATAACTTTTAAGATCCTTAGCATGACTCTAAAATTTTATCTATAGGATATTTTGTAATTAGATTGTAAATAAATAATATAATATTTTCTATAATAATACTTACATCAGATAGTATGTTTCTTTCAAATGAAGTAATATTTTTATATCCAATTGCTTCAAGTATTACTTTTTATGCCTAAAGTTTATGCATATTAATTTTATGATTATCATTATAAACATCACAAATAAAGCTTTTTATTTCAAAATAGTACTTTTTTGATTATACTAACAATTTAAAATATGATATTAAAATTCATCATCTTTAGGTATATACTTTTTTAGATATAATTTAAACATGTATTGTATAATTCTTTTATTATTTCAATCAGGTCTTAGAAAATAGTTTTTCATATTATTTTTTAAATTTAAATTATATAAGTAGATGATTAATTTCAAAAAGATTAATCCCATTATAATTTTGCAATAATTGGATTTGATTTTAAACTGAAGAAGCTGTTATATTTTAAAATTGTTTTACCATTTCATCATTTTGAAAAATACTAATTGAAAAATAATTTTCTCTTAATCTTCTGTCATATACCCATATTACACTTTATTTTTATTTATATTTATATATAAACTAGTTGCAAACCTTTTATAATTATTATTATTTGAAATAAATGCTATAACATCAGTAAGTTAAGTGCGCATAAAACTGCGCATTGTTTTATGCCAACACAGATCAGCGTGAAATCATGTGATTCTACGAAGGCAACACAGAACAGCGCTTTGAAAAATAGTATCAATCAATGCACTGTTTTATTTACATCTCATAAATCATTGCACAGATTTTTTTATTTAATTTATTTATTTAATTTCATTTTATTCTATTTATTTATTAATTTATTAATTAATTAATTTATTTATTTTACTGTATTTATTTTATTTTCATATACCTAACTGTCTATTATAGTATATATTTAATTTAAATTATCCCCTGAAACTCACATTATTGTAAATAATGATAAGTCCCATTTCAAGAAATCTACCGTTCCTAAAAATAAAATAAGATAGAAACATTAATTTAATAACGTTTTCATTAAGATTTTTAAAAAAAATCCTTCCTAAAACTCACAAGTCTTACAAGAAATATCCATTCCAAGAAATTGCCAAGCTAAATCGTTCCTAAAATAAAAAAAATTTAATAAAAAAATTTATCTGATATTAAAAAAAAAAAAAATTGAAATTTTTAAAAAAGACACCTGAACGGGACTATGGTGTCATAATAAATTGCTTTCTTCCAAACTTAAGCTAAATTCAAAATTGGCTCTTACAAGAAAAAACAAAAAGAAATGTTAATAAAACGATTCTTTTAAAAAAAACAAATAGTTTTAAAGTTATGATATAACTTCAAAACTTACCAAAAATCTAACACCTAAATGCAAAGCTGAAATCTATACCGAGTAAAAAAGAAAAAATGAAACGTTAGTAAACGTTTCTTTTAAAAAAAATAAATAAATAATTTTGAAATTAATTTCCAGAAACTTACCACATGAGCAGCCAAATATTGAAGCAGAAACCTACAAAATATATAAGAAGTATTAGTTAATATTTCAAAAAAAAATAATAAAAAAAATTTCGTTTTTAAAGCATACTCGGTATTCAGTATCCAATGCCGAACGAAATCTACAAAATATAAAAGAAGTGTTAGTATAACACTTCAAAAAAAATAATAAAAAACAAATTTTCGTCTTTAAAGCCTACCCGATATCCAAATATCCAATGCCGAAAGCTGAAAGAAACCTACAAAATACAAAGAAAAAGTGTTAATATAGCACTTCAAAAAAAAAATCAAAATTGACTTCAAAATACCTACTAGGAATCCAATGGTAAAGGGAAGCCAGAAGAACCTACAAAATACAAAGAAATGTTAATATAACGCTTCTTTAAAAAAAAATAGAAATATTCTACCATTTTTACCTGTTGTTAATGGTTTGGTCATAGTCCCAGTTGGTTCAATTCTAACAAACGATCTAAAAAAAATAAAAGGTATTAATATTATCATAACGCCATTAACTACCACGCATTCACTCAAAGAAACTTACCGCAAATTTTGCTTCTAATAACCTAAAAAAATAATAAAAAAAGGCATTATTATTGTTTCCTAATGCAAATATACACCATATACCTATCTACCTTTGAATCTATATTCCAGGAAGCGTCCAAGAATTTAAAAGAATAAAAAAAAGGCGTTAGTATTGTTTTCTAACACCAATACACAGCACACACCTGCCTACCTTCAAATCTGTATTCCAGGAAGCGTTCAGGAGTGTTCAAGGACCTAAAAGAATAAAAAAAATGGGGTTAGTATTGTTTCCTAACGCCATTACGCTATCATACACTCCAAAAAAACACTTATCTTTTCAGAAAGTCTAGGAAATCTGCCAAAGAACTATTCCTAAATGAAAAGAAAAAGTCAATTTCATTCCTAAAAAAATAATGATAAATAAAATAATATTAATAAAAATACCTTAATATCCCGTTTTCATTCTGAGTTCTCTACCTAAAATAAAAAAGAAAAAATTTTCTTAAAACTCTTAAAAAAAGATTATCTAAATCGGTTTGGCCATAAGTCATATGACTAGTAATACCACCGATCGGAACTATTTTCAAATTATCAATCCATTTCTACAAAAAAAAACGCAATCAACAAAGGGAAATTAAAAAAATTAAAAGAAACAAAAGGATAAAAAAGAGACTTACTTTTTTAGATTTTTAATTTTTTTTTACTTTAAGAGCGTTAATTAACTTTCTATTTTTATTTTCTTTTATAGACAGTTTCTTGGACTTGAAATTTGAAGGGTAAGTTTCATGTTATTTCTATGTTTGAATGTTAAGAAAAAAACATAATTAGTATGAGCAATAAAAAAAATAAAAAGATAAATCATAAAGTAATAATACTGAAACTGAAGCAAAATAAACTTCAGCTTCGAAGAAAGAAGCCATATACCTAAATAAACTTAATAAAAAATAAACTTAAAGTTAGGTAAATAAACTTTGCAATTTTGTGTCACAGATTTGCACTGAAACTTTTAACACTAATCAAGGTGCTGAATTATGTCACAGTAATCAATGCACTTTCCAATACAATGATCATTGCACTGAATAATTGGTGCATTGTTTAGTATTTTGTTGGCATAAATCATTGCAATGATCAATGCGCCAAATTTTACAGTGCTTTTCAATACAATGATTTATGCCGACCTAACTTACTGATGAAAAATCATAATATTATATAAATAAATTGTAAAAGGATAAAAATCTACATTATTGAGTATTTGTTGAATCATATAAGAATCATAAAAACCTAATATTATTGCTTCTAGATATTTTGTTTATTTTATTATCAAATACACATTTATAAATGGTGTTTATAGCAGCAAAAGAACTAGATAAAACTCCACTATTAATTCCTTTTTCTTCACAAATAAAACTTAGTGTATTTGGATTTTTTAAGTTGCAAACTATTCTAATAATGAAGTGTTTTTAATTGAATTTCAAGTAACTTGAAAGTCAAGTTTTATTGGAATAGCATAGGTATTAGAATCTTAAATTTGGAAGTTAAAATAAATAATACCATTAAACTCATGAAAAAGGACCATAATGAAGTTCTCATTGGTATTAAGTTACCAATAATAACAAGTTTTCTAGAAGTAAAGTATTCTTTTAATATTTTTAAAAATAGGAAACATGAGATTCAGAATATATTTATTTTAATTATAAATCATAGCTCCATAATAGTTACACAAAATTTCTACCTATCATATGAGGATCAGCAATTAAATATTTAAATGCAAAATATTTTTTTTTATCCAGATTTTTTGCTATTTATTATTTATATAAAAGTAATATTCAAGTATAATATATATTAGTTATAGAAATGCTGGGTGAAACTGAAATATTTAGTCATTTGACGAAACTGAAATAGTTTAAACATTTAAAATTAAAAGACAAAATGCCAAAATTCAATATTTCATGATATTTCTATAGATTTTTCATAAATTTCCATGGATTTTTAATTATAATAATTACTTTTTTATTAAAATATAACATTTTTTAAAAAGAATTTATAAAACTATTATAAATATAATTAATTTTATATATTTTTATAATAAAACTATAATTTTATATAATTAAAATTAAAATTAAAAATTATTATTATATAGTTCAGTCAATGACGAAACTGAAACTAATTGGTGATGAAACTGAAATTTTTGGCAAAAAGAGTTTAGGCAGGCATCACTAACTAGTTAGTCTGGAGTATAGTGAAGGATTCTATATCTTCTAGCTATAATGGTACAAAATATCCTGTTATCTGTCCATTTGTTCTTTGAGTTGACGTTTAATTAGTTCTTATATTACACAAAATTATTTTAATCAGTTAAATGAGTAGAGTTCCAATCTGTCATCTGACGGATGATCATTTTCTTCTCATTTATTTTTGGAAAGAGACATTTATGTTTCATAATTTATAATTTAGGAACTGCATTCGATGTAAGGTGATCAGACTATGCATTATTTAATTAATTGAACATAAAATAAATGGGGTGAAATCTTAGTCAGATTGAAATTTTCATCTGTCGGATGATATTTTAATCTGTTCTTAATTTCTCCTCACTTTCATTTTTGAAAAAAAAGTTTATTTAATAAATTATATACTGTATTATGCTCTTAGGATATCCTTAAAAAAAATGCTCTTTTATATTAATTAAATGAGCGTACAACTGTCAAAATGTGATTATCCGTCGGATGACGGATTGGAACTCTATAATTGAATATGTAGTTATCTAACTATATACTGATGAGCTCTGAACTACATAACGGTTTACCATTTTCCTAGTATAATATTATATTTATATAAATCTTTATAAAATTTAATGTAATATATTGCTAGAAATGTGATTGCAATTAGATATTACTAATTGCAACTCACAATCACAATTGCAACTATTTATATAGTAGCTATAATTACATAACCATTTAAAAAACAGTTGAAATACTTAATGCTAAATTATTTGAAATAATTATCTCCAAATATATACTTTGACTAAATTGTAATTTTTGGCTAAATTAAATGATAATAATCCTAGTAATAAGGTTGATATCTCAACTGTTTTCCAAATAGTTGTGTAATTATAACTATGTAAAAAACATAGAGTTGTAGTTGTGAATTGCAAGTTGTAATTAGTAAGACCTAGTTGTGATTACATTTCTATCTAGTAGTAATAATTATTATTGGTAAAATTTAGTAATATCCAAATTTAAAATACTAAAATTTATTTTTATTTTTATTTAATTAATATATAAATATTTAATTAATAATAAAAAAATGTTATTTTTTAATTAAAACAGTTTATAGATACTAAAAATTAATTTTTTAACCAAAAAATAAATTACATTTCAAAAAATCAGAAAAATAAATTAATAATTTAAATCTTTTTGATTTGAAATATAAGCAACTTTTGGCATTTATTTTCCTATATCTGTTCTATTAAAAAATCAAAATTTTTTCATATAAAATTAAATATCTCCATTAATTCAATAAAAAAACACTTCCAATAAAATTTAGAATTTTTTAATTTTTAAAAAAAATATTGTCAAAAATCTGATCTTTTTTACCGAAAAAAATTGTATAATAATTTTATCAGAATTAGCAAATAATGATCTGCAACGCTTGTAATATTTGTTTCCAATTTAAAACCAAATATTTAAGGTTGACCAATCAACATTATTTCATTATTTATATAATGAAATACGGTGCAAACTTCCAAAAGATTAACAAATCCAAATTTGCACTTTGTATTTCGTTTTTTTTCATCATTTTAGAATTAAATCAACATACCATTTTCACCATGGTAGTTCCAAAGTGTAACTGTACATGCTGTACGTACCATATGTTTTAACTCAATAATTAAAACGAATTTCTTTTAAAAAAAAATCTTTTAATATTAAGCCAAATCTCCAGTAATGTTAAGGAATGTATACATTTTATTAATAAATGTCATGCATCATCGAGAATGGTAAGAACATGAGGGTCAGTGGTGGTATAAATGATTTTGCTTTTCCTAAACCCATTGAATTTTGTGGATGCTGAAATTGTATAAGCTCCCATTTCTTCAAAATATAACCAATCACCAGGTAATAATTCAGGAAGACTTCCGTTTTTGGTGATGCAATCGATAGAATCGCAAGTTGGTCCCCAAATGAAGCAATTGTATTCAGGTTCGTCCAAAGTTTCACCAAACAAAAATTTTCCTTCCTTCATTAAAACTTTAGGAGTAACGATTTGATGATCGAAAAGGATACAGTTGAAAGTGCCGTACAAACCATCATTAATATAATCTATTTAAAAATTTTTATTAATATTTGGAATTTGGATGTATTGCTAAAAAGAATATCAATTGTATTTGTGATATACCTACACATAAATGATGGATGATCGTCACCAGCCACAAGTGTTTCATCTTGAATAACATCCATATTTGGAATATGTTCATCAAGATCTCTACGAACTATTCTTCTTGCAATGATATGTGTAGCAATGGTAAAAGCTGGAGCTGCGTAATACCGTCCAGGCTCAGCAATAACATGAATGTTATCGGAAGGAAAACATTTGTCAATAGCAGGCCCAAGAACAGACGCAATTTTTTCAAAAGTAACATCGTTGTTTTTACGTGAAAATGAAAATCCGCCTCCAACATCAAGTAAATGAAAATTGAAACCTAATTCTGTTGCTTGATCAAAGACAAATCTTGCCCTATTAATGGCGTCAACATACGCATTTTCATCATAACAACCACTACCAACATGGAAACTAATAAAAAGATTGAAAAATTTTGTTATAAAAAAGAAAAAAAAAATCAATATATTTCAATAACATTTACCTAACGCCAATGACACTTAAGCCTAATTCGCGGGCAGTTTGTAAAAGAAACCCGGTGTTATCTAAAGAAGCACCAAATTTGGCACTTAGCTTGACAACAGCTTTAGAATCGTCAGTGAGAATACGAATGACTAATTGAGCATTAGGAAAGAAACGTTTGATCTTGTGAAGTTCTTCAACATTATCAAACGTCATCATTTTAACATCATGCTCAGCGGCAAATCGTATAAAGGATCCTTGTTTGCATGGATTGGCATAAATAATATTAGACGGGTCTACTCCCATGTTAAGTAAAGTTTGAATTTCGGTTTTACTAGCACAATCAAATCCAGTTCCTAAAGCTATCAATAGTTTAAGTAACATAGGATCTGCATTGCACTTGACTGCTACTCAACATAAGGTTAAAGATGAGAAATGTGCAAACTCTCAAGTTAAAATAAAAAAAATGGTTTAAAAATTTGACATTTACTTTACAAATTATTACTTCAATTTACCATAAAACGGTTTAATTCGAGGCAAATGAGTCTGCCAACGAAGATGCTGACGATAAATCTCGCCAAGATCAGCGACAATGAAAGCATTATCATTTTCAGCTTCACAATTGTCTATATCGAGAGACAATACGTGAGATTTTAAAACCTCTTCAACGGATAACATGCTAATACGTGGCAGGTCATTTTTGTTAGTGGAGAGGACATCTTTTTGAGTGGATTCACATTTGGTACGCTTAGTAGCGAATAATTTTGGATGAATTTGATCGATTTCCACTTGTCTTTTCATGGCAAACTGTATCCGAAACAGTACGGCAACTTATCACGCGACGCTAAAATTGTAGTGCCAGGGAGGTGACTTCTTCATAGAACAAGGATATTTAATGATGATGTTCATATTTCATTTCATTATTAAATTTATAACTTTATTTCACTTTTGAGTGTTATACCTGATGACCCCGGAAGACAATTAACTTAACGACTTTCTTTTGTAGCGCCGTGATGACAGTGCACCTTTCCTAACGCGGGAAAAGTGCAATAGATATAAATGGGTGGATGCCCGAGGGTACAGAGAAAACCACAAAAATTATAATTAAGGAGGAAATTAAGCTCTTTTTTTTTTTTTAAAAAAAAAAAAAAAAAAAAAATTATATCTACTATGGAATAATATTTGTCAGGGGAATATGTAGAGAAAAGAAAAAACGCGACTGAAATGCTTCAAATATTCTATAAGATACAGTTTTGTTTTCCGTCTCTCTTAAAGTTTATCGCTAATCGCTATATATAAGTAAGTAAAAAAAAATCCGCAACAGATCTGTAAATGATGATCTGATCTAATCTGAAGTATTAAATTTCATTGGGCTGTTGTAATTACGAAAAAGTAAATTCTCGGGGCGTTTGCGTTAATATTTATATAATAAAATAAATGGTTTTTATCTGTCATTATCATCCTCTTTTAATTCGATTTCAGGCCTGAACTAATATATTAATAGTTAAAATCGATACAGAAAGATACAGAAAGATTTGAATTAATGCAGATATTCTTTTTATTAAATTTCCGATGACCAACTCTTTATTTGGAACATTAATTAATTCAAAATTGCATAATCTACAATCCGATTTTTTTCGGATCTTGGATGAATTATTGTATTTAACCGGCAAATATGTTAATATATTTATACTTCTACTCTCTCACGATATATAGAACACGAATACATAACATAATCAGTGTCACACTGCCACAAAAACAAAGATAACCGATTTACTGATTTAGCATATCTATTTACGATAGATCAGCATATCTACAAAAGTTTGTTTATAAATTAATTGTTTTTCCTCAGTCCTCTTTGAACTTTCATATCTAAAGAAAGTTAAGCAACTATGCATGAACGTGAACATTCCGTTGATTCAATTCGTCAAAGTAGCCAAATATTTGGGCAATTTGAGAAATTGATGGTTGCGAACCGTGGTGTAAGCTTTTCTCTTGTATAAATATACGTAACAAAGTTTAGTTATTCTAATGGTAACTTTAATTTTTTTTTATTTTAATAATTGGATTGGTCTAATAGGAAATAGCTATTCGAGTTTTTCGAACAGCTCATGAACTTTCTATGAAAACCGTTGCAATTTTTAGCTTCGAAGATCGATTATCGATGCATAGGTATAAGGCCGACGAAGCTTATCAAGTTGGCTCGCAAAATGTTTATACTCCTGTGGGAGCTTATTTAGCCCAAGATGAAATAATCCGTATTGCGAAGTTACGCGGTGTAACTATGATTCATCCAGGCTATGGATTTCTAGCTGAAAACGCAGGATTCGCTAGAAAGGTTGAAGCAGCCGGGATAACTTTTATAGGTCCTACCCCTGATGTAATAGAAAAGATGGGTGATAAAACTAAAGCAAGAGAACTTGGTATGTTATATTGTTTTTAAAGGTAAATCGGATATTATTATAAAGTTAACTATCAAAACTTACTTCCAAAGCTATTCAGTGCGGCGTTCCCGTTGTCCCAGGTACACCAGGCCCAGTCTCCACGTTAGAAGAAGCGAAAGCTTTTATAGATGAATATGGGTTTCCAATCATTGTTAAGGCTGCAATGGGCGGTGGAGGTCGCGGTATGAGAGTGATTCGTGATGTAGATTCACTTCCTGACTCTTTTGAGCGTGCAAAATCAGAAGCGTTATCCGCTTTTGGAGACGGCACAGTCTTCTTAGAACGCTTCTTAGATAAGCCGAGACACATTGAAGTTCAGTTATTAGCAGATGTAGCCGGCAATGTTATACATTTATTCGAACGTGATTGTTCTGTACAAAGACGCCACCAAAAGGTAGTTGAAGTCGCGCCGGCAGTCAATCTTAGTGTAAGAATCAAGTTATGTTATCTATTAAAATTATCGTCAAAAATATACTTAATTAATTCATTTATGAATACTCTCAGGCTGAAGTTCGCGATGCAATCCTTGATGATGCTGTCAAACTCGCAAAAGCTGTTAATTATCGAAATGCTGGCACAGCTGAATTCTTAGTCGATTCAGAGGGTAGACATTATTTTATTGAAATTAATCCTCGAATTCAAGTCGAACACACCATAACAGGCAAGTTTCGAATATTTTCATAAATTCATGTGAATGATAAGATTAACATTTTTTTTTTTTTTGTAATGTAGAGGAAATTACTGGTATTGATATAGTTGCCGCACAAATTCATGTTGCCGGTGGATCACTCCTTTCAGATCTTAATTTAACACAAGAAAAAATTAATACGCAGGGATTTGCTATTCAATGTCGTATAACAACTGAGGATCCGGCCCAAAATTTCCAACCAGATACAGGGAAAATCGAGGTCTATAGATCAGCTGGTGGAAACGGTGTTCGTATGGATGGTGGTGCAGGTTATGTTGGCGCAGTTATAACGCCACATTATGACTCATTATTAGTAAAATGCACGTGTTGGGGAGATACTTATGAAGTTGCAAGACGTAAAATTCTTCGAGCGTTAATTGAATTTAGGATTCGTGGTGTAAAAACGAATATTCCTTTTCTACAACGATTACTTACTCATGATACTTTTATGAAAGGAGGAGCATGGACAACTTTTATTGATGATACACCGGATCTATTCCGACTTGTTGAAAGTAAAAATCGTGCTCAAAAAATATTGAAATATTTAGGCGACATTGTCGTTAACGGAAGTAGTATCAAAGGACAAATGGTAAGACTTATTAGACAATGTATTTTGTATTAATATTATTATTAGTAATATTTTAAAATGTAATTTCATTTTAGGGTGAGCCTGCTTTCAAAGGCGAAATACTTTATCCGGAGATTCGTTCTTTGGCTGGTCCAGAACCTGTTGACGTCCGTGTTCCACCTGAGCATGGGTGGAGACACATTCTTGTTGAAAAAGGGCCGGAAGCTTTTGCTAAGGCTGTACGTGAATATAATGGCGTTCTGATTATGGATACAACCTGGAGAGATGCGCATCAAAGTTTGTTGGCTACCAGAGTTAGAACGATCGGTATGATTGGAAATATGGCTTACATATTTTGCTTATAACTAATTATATTAAATATATTAATCTTGACGTCCATTCATCAGACCTTTTGAATATTGCACCTCATACCGCGCATGCTCTTGCCAATGCTTATTCTTTAGAAATGTGGGGTGGCGCAACTTTTGACGTTGCAATGAGGTTTTTATATGAAGACCCCTGGGACCGTTTGGTGAGTTTTAAATATATATTTCGAATTTTTACTTTTGTATTAATAATTTATTTTTTTTTAAAAAAAAAAATTAATAATATATAGTCTAAGTTGCGCGCACTTGTTCCAAACATTCCCTTTCAAATGTTACTTCGTGGTGCAAACGCTGTAGGTTATACTTCATACCCAGATAATGTTATATATGATTTCTGCCAAAAGGCGAAAGATCATGGAATGGATATATTTCGTATTTTTGATTCTCTTAATTATATTGACAATATGAAACTGGGTATTGATGCGGTTAAAAAAGCTGGTGGAGTTGTTGAAGCAGTTATTTGTTATACCGGTGATGTTTCAAACCCCAATAAGAAAAAATACAATTTAGAATATTACCTCAATTTTACCGAACAATTAGTAAATTTAGGTATACATGTATTAGGTATCAAGGATATGGCAGGGTTATTGAAACCTGAGGCAGCAAAACTTTTAGTAAGCTCTATCAGGAAAAGATGGCCTGATTTACCTATTCATGTGCATACACACGATACTGCTGGGACTGGTGTTGCCAGTATGTTAGCAGTCGCTTTAGCTGGTGCTGATGTTATTGACTTGGCTATCGATAGTTTGTCCGGAACAACATCTCAGCCTTCGATGGGTGCAGTAGTGTCTGCATTAGAACATACTGATCTTGGTACAGGCATTAGATTAGAGGATGTGCATGCATTGAATGGATATTGGGAACAAGCACGTAAATTGTATAGTTGTTTTGAAGCTGGAGTTTTGAGCGCTGATTCTTCGGTTTATGAACATGAAATGCCTGGAGGCCAATACACAAACCTTATGTTTCAAGCATCACAATTAGGACTTGGAAAACAATGGAATGAAATTAAGAAAGCTTATACCGAAGCTAATAAGCTATGTGGTGATATAATTAAAGTAACACCAAGTTCAAAAGTTGTCGGTGACCTTGCACAATTTATGGTTACTAATAAACTAAAATATCAGGATGTAAGTTTTAATCCCTGTATTGATCGATATAATGAATTATAGTTCGTATATTTAATTAATATTTATATATATATAGGTAATTTCAAGGGCAAAAACATTGAATTTTCCAACTTCAGTTGTGGAATTTTTCCAAGGATATTTGGGTCAACCATATGGAGGATTTCCAGAACCACTTCGCTCAGATGTAAATATTATTAACATTTATTATAATTAAAATAATAAAATTTAATTAAATTTATCTTTTAATATTGCTTTTATTTGTTACAAATTAGATTATTCGTGACACTCAAAGAATTGATCGTCGACCTGGATCTACAATGAAACCATTAAACTTGACTGAGCTCAAAGCTGAATTAGTATCTAAATATGGACTATCAATACGAGATGTAGATGTTATATCCGCTGCCATATATCCTAAAGTATTTGTAGAATATCGTGAAACAATTGAGAAATATGGTGATGTTTCAGTTATACCCACGAAATATTTCTTAGGCAAACCTGAAATTGGGGAAGAGTTAAGTATACAGCTTGAAGAGGGTGTTACACTTATTATTAAATATTTAGCCGCTGGTCCTCTAAATGCAGCTACTGGTAGAAGAGAAGTTTTCTTCGAATTAAATGGAGAAGCACGAGCTATTGGCGTATTAGACACAAGTGCCGGTATGTGGAGTAAAAAATTATGAAGTTTTATTTAAATTTCTAATTAATTTATTTTTATTTAGCCGTTGAACATGAACATCGGGAAAAAGCAAATCCTGGAAATCCTGGAGAAATTGGTGCACCAATGTCTGGTGTAGTGGTTGAAGTAAGAGCGCATGGTTAGTTCTTTTATATAAATATATATATAATAAAAAAGATTCTTCTTATTTTGAATTATATTAATATATATTCTGTAAATTATTTATAGAAGGAGCAGAGGTTAAAGATGGCGATCCACTTTGTGTACTTTCGGCAATGAAGATGGAAACAATAGTTACTTCAGCAGTTTCTGGTAGAATTGACTATGTTGCAGTTAAAGAAAGTGATTCAATAAACGCGGGGGATCTTATTGTTAGAATAGTTAAAGTTTAATTTCAATTTGGAATAACTTTAAATTCAGGATATATAATGTTATTTGGGAATCTTAATTTATTATGTAATATTATAAATTTATTTAATATTGTTAAATTTATGAACTCCTTTTCAAAGCATTTTTAGTAAATTGTGGTAAAATAAAAGCAGCTTCATGAATTTGAGAATTATAATATCTACATAATTTTTCTTCTTCTTCTTCAGACCATTTCCTTAAAGGTTTTTTTAGATTAACTTTATCATCAATACTACATAATATAAAACCAATTTGACCTGAAGGATAAGTTGGAATTGTAGTATAAGCATATTCTACTACAGGATATAATTCACGACAATAGGATTGTACTTGTGTGATTAAATCTAAATGAAGCCATTGACATTCGCCTATAAGATATGCATATGTTGTTTAGTTAAAAAAAAAAAATTTTATTTATTTATTATTTTTGATAAATTTTTTTGAATTTTACCTTGAGTTGAAATAATTCCGCCAGGACGCAACGCATTTTTCATTAATTCAAAATATTTAACTTGAAATAGTGATTCAGCAGGCCCTAAAAAAAAAAATTTCATTATTATATTGTTTTTTATAATTGTAAAAAGAAGGAAAAAAAAAAATTTTCAACATACCAACAGGATCTGAAGCATCAGTAATTATAATATCAAAAGAATTAACTTTATCCCTTAAAAATTCAAATCCATCACCAATATGTACAGTAACTTTTGGATTATCAAATCCAATTGCCATTTTTGGTAAATATTTTTTTGATAAACGAATTACAGACTTAATTTGATTGATATTTTTTTTTTTAGATGGAGAAAGAAAAAAAGACACAAGTTATTGTTTATAAATCACAACAAAATCGAATAAATAAATGAATGAATGAATTAATATAAACACACACCTCATCAATATCACATAAAACAATTTCTTTAACAGATTCATGTTTAGCTACTTCTCGAAGTACACCACCATCTCCTCCTCCGATTACGAGTACCTAATAAACGACACATGATTATAATTATATTTATATGTGTATATATCAGATTTTTTTTAAAAAAATCAATTAAATCAATGAAATTACATTTTCCGGATTCGAATGACAATTCATTGGAATATGTGTAATCATTTCTTGGTACCTATATATGAAAGAAATTTAAGATATGATTATTTTCAAAAAAAAAATCATTAATAAAGTGAAAAAGGGAAAACTTACGAGAATTCATCACGTTCAGTACATTGAACTACACCATCTAATACTAATACAATACCATAATGCGTTGATTTAAAAATCAAAACATCTTGATATAGAGATTTTTCATGACATAAAACTTCTTCAATTTCTAAACACATAGCTAATTAAAAAAAAAAATCATAATAATTAAAAATATGTAGTAAAATTTTATGAGAAGAATATTTTACGTTTTAAACGTACCTTGACCAGGCCAAAGTGTAGGTTTCTCACGAAACCATCCATCTAATTATCAAAATAAAATGAAAAATAAGTTAGTTAAAAATGTATCAAAAAAAAAAATAAAATAAAATAATTTGAAAAATACACTACTGGTGTTCAGTACCGTATCAAAAAAATAGCAAGGCGATAAAAGCTTTATTGCAAGTTGGTTATCTTTTTTTTTTTTTTTTTTTTTTTTTTTTTGATATACTTAAAGAGCACCAGTGGTGTATAATTTAATAAAAGTCATATATAAACCTTGAATTTGAGGGTGCGATGTTGTTCCTGACATGAGTAAACGAGAAAATTTTTCTTCGATCTTTACTAATGACAATAATATTTAAGATAAACAAAAACTTTTAGATTAGATAAATCAATTATTACACAAGATTGATATAGTAAAATAATAGAGAAAATCTTAAATAGATTAAAAAGTTAACGATCCGTTTAAAGTAATGCAAAAACTTGTGTTAATAATGCAAGTTGATTAAATTAATTAATACCTAATAAATATTATCCAAAATTGTTTTCAATAAAGTAAAATCGACATACTCTATTTAGTAATCCGAGCCCGACATTATAAGGGGTATATAATGACATCTTTTGACATTCTTTAAAAGAATTTTGCGTAATTCATAATTTCCTCAAATATATATGATAATATGTTTGTAATTACGTATTTCTCCGAGTGATATTAATAATTCATCCACACTTTTATAACCCTATAAACCTCCTATTTCCTAAACCCTCATCCTTTTTTTTAATGTTTATATCTCCGTATATCCCTTCAAATACAGTCACGCGATAACTTTAGAGATCAATAATATCCCCATGTTTTCGTAATGATTGTCGATATTTCAAGTTTTTTTTTTTCAACTTAATCAAAAGTTGATTAGTTAGTTGCGTATATTCTAAATTGGTTGATAATCAGATTTACTTGATATGCAATCAAGTCAGATGATGGTCTTAACCCCTTGAAATTTTTTGAAAAAGCGATTATGTAATGAACAGCAAATGACCCCATATGATGATGTCCTATTTAGGTGATTTTCTTTTATGCGGGTCCGCTTAGATAGGTTCGAATATTTTCACACTCATGATAAGAGAAAAAAAAAATATTTTTTTTTTTTTTTTTTTTTTTTAGGTAAAAAAAAAAGAAATATGTCACCGATTACACGAAGTAAAACTAGTTTAATTCGTTGGAGATATCCAGATTTTCCTACATTTCAAGATTTAGAAGAAGCATATAAAATTGCATACCCAAAAATTCAATATGATGCAAAACAATTATTAGAAATGATGATAGATGAACAAGATATTAGAAAAAATTTTTATAATCCAACATCACCAGAATATTGGTTCATAAATAATAAAGAAGCATTAGAAGAAGTTGTTTATTATAAAATGAAAAAAAGATTAATAATAAGATATAAAACACAATTAATTGAGAAAGGAGTGGATTTATCAGAATATAGTGATACAGAAAGTGAATTTGGAGGAGAACTTCCACCTACTCTTGAAGAATTATTATATAAAGAAGGTATTAGTAATGAAGTACAAGATGATTTATTAATGGAAGAATCATCATCATCATCAAATTCACCATCTACAACAACAAATTTTAGAGATATTCCAACTAAAGAATTTAAATTTATATCATCAAAAGATGAATCTAATATTATAGTTTCAAATAATAATAATCATCTTAACCTTCGATCCAATAATATTTTAAGAAATTTATCTAACAAAAAAATAGTAATAATTTTATTTTTATTATTATTTTTATATATTTTTACAAAAGAAGATATTAATACTCAACGTCAAAAAAATTTAATTAAAGGTAAATTACATGGTACTGTAAAAGCTCAAGTTCAAGAATTTATTGATCAAGAAATTTCTAGAGTATCAAAAGGATTAATTGAAAATACTGATGAAGATAATGATTTTATTGGATTTGTTCGTACTCAATTAAATGAAGTATTTCAAGAACAATTAGAAGTATTTATGGATGGTAGTTCAGCTGATTTTGCTTTATATACTGGAGGGGGAAGAATAATTCATCAATTAACATCTCGTAATTATGAATTATGGCCAAGTAAATCTTATCAAAAATTATTAAGTAGATTTACCAATAGTATAATTAAAAGTAAAAATCCTGAAACTGTTATTTCACCTAATGTTAATGTAGGAGATTGTTGGTGTTTTAATGGTACAAAAGGTCAAATTGCTATTAAATTATCAAGAAGTATTGTATTGACACATGTAACTTATCAACATATTAGTAGAGAGGTTTCAATTGATCCTATATTATCCGCTCCATATGAATTTGAATTATGGGGTTTACCAACTTCAACATCTGCTTCAACAGGAGGAGGAGGTGGTGATAGTGGTAAAGGTGAAGTCGAATTAGAAGAAAAGAATTCTTTGGGAATATTTAAAAATGATTTTAAATTTTTCCTTGGTTCATATCAATATGATATTAATGGTAGTCCTACACAGACATTTACATTACCTGATTCAATTGCGAAATCGAATAAACGTATTAACGCCATTATGATGAGAGTTAAAAGCAATCACGAAAACCCCCCATTTACCTGTTTATATCGATTACAAGTTCATGGTGTTATGCCTCAATAATAATTTTTGAAGTAAAAAAATTCAAAAAATCAAAAAATCAAAAGGTTTTTCTAGAACTTTTTAATAATATATTGGGTGAAAAGGGGGGGGGGAGGGAAAAAAAAAAAAAAAAATTTATTTTTTTTTCCTTATTTTTATTTTTATTTTTTTTTTAGTAGATTAGGTTTTTTTTCCTTTTTATAATTCTCTTTGTTTTTTTTCTTATCTTGTAAATAAATTATTCTTGTCCTTTGTAATTTAAAATAATTTAAAATAATTTAAAATCATTAACATGTCTTGATATCGTAATGATCTATGTTATGCGTACATTTCTCGGAAAATCCCGTAAAATCTACCAAAAATTTACAAAATTTTACAAAAATTTACCAAATTTACCAAATTTACCGTAAAAAAAATAATAAAGGTATAAAGCCAGTGAGCCCATGATTTATTAAAAAATGCGGTACAACTGTACGACTCATTAAAAAAAACCTGTATGAATGTATGAAGAATAACGTATAAGGGTTAGTATTTATTCTAAAATAAGATTAGAAGGGTTAAGTAAGGAAAGTATCACTTGTTTAACCATATTTTTTTAAATTTGGATTATGTCGTCATACGTTTCATTATTTCTTATAATATAATCACAGTTCTAAAAAAATAACTGATCTACATTATATTAGGTCATACTCGTCATTCAAGTTATTTTTAAGAAAAAAAAAAAAAAAAATTTTTCGTCAAAAGATGATGAAAAATTCGAATGAAATCAAGAGAAAGATGCTCATATGTAAAATATGCATTATTACAACATTTACAGAATGAAAATGTTGAAACTAGGCTTTCATCCTCTCCTTACTCATTCAACCTAATTTCCATCTAAGTTCAGTTTATGACAAAAAGTTTTCTTCTCGCTAAAATATTCATATTTTCTTGTCTAACATACATGAAATGAATTATCCGCCAACGCACAGGTTTTTTTTTTTTCGGGAAACTTTTCCAAACTGGTTGATTAATTTTTTATTAAAGAAATAATTTTCTTTTTCTAATAAAAAAATATATATATATTTTTTTTTTTTGCAACATATTTTTATTTTAAACCTAATTTAATCTAACCTTCTCAAGAATAGACCTGACTAAGTCGGTAATTTTAACTAAATTATAAGAAATATTTTTTTATATTAAAAAAAAAA